AATTATAATTAATTAACATATATAATTAACATATAAATATTATATCTGACTAAGGTACAAAGGAAAAGAAGTTTGTATCTTCTTTCTTTACGTAAGTGTCCTGTTTATTTTTTAGGCGCTCACAGATGAACAGAAGGCCAAGTTGGCTGAACACAAAGCAGTCTGCATAACAGAAACTGGTGTTGATGCGCGTAAGTTGATTATTATGTATAATGATGGACTTTCGAATACGACTTTTGATACAAATCTAAGTTTTTCAAGAACGTTTAGTTCAGTCCCTATAAAACTTAATAAAACTTAAACCTGTTTCTGTACAAGTTAAAAGAAAAATTGTAATGAGTCCTGCTTCGTATTATAGAGGTGGTTGAGAACGCTAAGAACGGAAACTGGGCCGACGGTGACGAGAAACTGGAATGCTTCAGCGCTTGTATGCTGAAGAGGATTGGAATCGTAAGTAACTTATTACTCACGTGTATAAAGAGAATAGAATAGAAAATAATATTTCATTTTCGTAACAGATGAGACCAGACGGAAGTATTAGCGAGGAAGTCACCAGGCAAAAGGCCCCAACTGACATTCCGAAAGAAAAGATCGATGACGTGATAAACAAGTGTAAGGGTACCAGTAAGTATCGAATTAAGAATATTATTTTCAGAAATCCAAGTCGAGATTACAGAGAAACTTATACATATATAACACGTTACAGCTGGCGCCAATGACTGTAAAAAAGCCGCCAATTTGGCCAAGTGTTTCATCGAGAACAAATCCTTCAACGTACTCACTCACTAAATTTATTTCAACCTGCTGACTAAAGACGAACAAATATATAACAAATATATATATATATGTAATTTGTATTTAAATTGGCACCAGAATATTTGTAGATGTAAATTAATAAATTAATATAATATTTTCATGACTATTTTAAGTTCTATACTTTACCTAACAATAATCCTCATACATCCCACTACTGCTATTATATGAAAAATAGAGGATAGAAGGGGAAGCACACATTGTACACACTACTGAAGAAATATGTACCTTCCTGGCCGAAGAGACATAAATCTCATGTGTCAATTAATAATTGAGTTATGAAAAGGTTTAATAAGGATAATATGAACTGCTGAATTTTATACTTATACTGCGAAATTTATATTCTGCTTTGCTTATATTAATAATAATCACCGACACCTTCATCAAACTGTAATTCATTATTGAAAACGGTCTTGAAATGACGAAGACCATCGCGATCTATATGCGGCAGTACTTCTTTGTACGTACCGTAGGTTGGAAGCGCAGCGTGCTCGAAAAAGAAAATGTTAGTTACATTTCTTTCTCTGGCCCCGAGAAATTCAATATTTCACCCCTTAGCGCCTGTAAGAGATCCTTACGCTGAAACTTTCCACGGGAAATTCACCCTTGTCCAGGCGCTCTTCTATGCGTCCGTGTGTACCTGGCATTCTGGTCTTCGAAACTTTCAAGGTTAGTGTCTTCCGCATTGAAAATTTTACCGCGATTCGTATTTCGCATTGCGCTCGGAAGGAAACTCGGCTATAAAAAGAGTCCTATGCAATTTTCCCATACGATTTCCGATACGAAAGAAAAACGGAATTTTTTGTCAAAAGTTTGCTGTTTCTACGGTGGGACGGCCGAATTTTGTCAGTGTCAATAAAATGCCAATTAATCGTACTTAACTCGTTGAATATTGAATCTTTAAATGAAAAATACATAGAATCTATCTTGTAAAAGCTGATCTCTGTTACCACTTCTGTTCTTCCTTGCGAAAGTTGAGAAATTAGTTGTATGTCCTTATCGACAACTCGAAACGTCGTTTGGCTGCGCAGAAATTCATTCGTTGGTAATATCGAGCGTGATATGATCCATTGTTTGACCTGTTGGCGGTTCAGAAGTTTTCTATATATCCTGCAATAAACATCGCGAAATTCAAAAGCTTATCTTCAGCTAATATTTATTAAACTTGAAACAGTTTTTAACTTTTCGTTTTCTTGTTTGACAATATATTCATCGTGAAAGTATAGAAAATTAATTCAATCAGTTTTTCTTACTTTCGAGGTATTTAGAAAGAAACAAATCGTTCTTTATCGACATATAAAAACAGAATTAAAACGGTGGATTTTTAATGGAGAAATTCATTTATAAAAAGAAATCGGTTGTTAATTAGTAGGTAAAACTTTCGGTTCCAAAGGATGTACGAGAAATCCGCAGATTCTCGGTTCGACGAGACTCAGTCGCGATTTTCGGTGATTGATGAAGTATCGCCGTGGAATGTCCTAATCGGTGATCGAGCTCTACTAGCTCATTATAAACAGGCAGAGTCAACTGGGGTTTATCTTGAATCTGGGGAGGGCTAGCCTTGTTAGCAAGCTGAACTATGGACTATTACATTTATCTAACCCGATCCACCCAAGTCGGAACACCGTCGTCGGTTTTCTCGGTACGGCAGTGATGGATATTTCACGGTTAACATCCTGACACTGTCGCACGTTCAACCGAAACCAAAACCAAAATCGTCCGCCTCTCGCTCCGAGAAACGTGCCTCGTAACCATAAGTCCGTTCTTAACCCGTCGGTTTCAAGCATCTATCTTTGCTCCCGATTTCTCTATTTTCACGTTGATCAAATAAAATAAATCTAACACGAGATACGAGATTGTTAAGAAATTATGTCGATGTTATTTAATTAAAAAAATATCTTTGCTTAAAAGATCAGTAAAATTTGCATAGAAGAGAAAATTAAATTATTCATTTATTCTCTTATTTGTTACGCATCGATGAATGTTAGACTGTCATAGGAGAAACGTGGTTCCAAAGAATTCTGCCGCGAGGGATAGTTTCTAATGTCGTAGCATTGACGTACCACCCCCGTTAGCAACGTAAAACCAGAATTATGATGGTCCTCGTTTAAGACAATTAAGGTAGAACCGGTTAACAACACGTGTTACAACCAAAGCCCTTCCCCGTATCTCTACTTCGGACTCATAACCCGGCGTCATGTCTTCTAACTAGGTACGCTTAAGCTGTCCCTGAAAACGGTACAACTATTGACTTTCGCGTAGTTCTGTTCTGAACCCGGTTCACGGACAATATTATTTCTACACGGTTAATTTGACGCGGTGTAAGTTTCGTCGTTGGTCTGCACGGAAACGGGTTGGTTGTAAACTGGACAGTAGTTGTTAGTTCACGATTCGAGGTAGATGAAGAGATAGAGGCTATGCCTGTTCGACGATGTCATTTATTACCGAGTCTATCAGATCTATCGCGCGTACTTATGTGCACTGTGCGAAATGGACCAACGTCCGAAAATTGCTAGCCTCTTGGCAAAATCGCCATCGGTCAATAATTGCATTACTGTTCTCTGGCTAATTTATAAATATCACGAAGTCCATATTCTTTTTTTTTTAAAGCTATTTTAAAAGAGGTTTTTCGGTTTTGGTCCAAAAAGAACAGCTACCTGAAAATAGATCCGGACTAGGTTTACCGAGAAGAGAGTCAAAGGCCACGTTTAGATGAAAAACTAGTTTACAATTTCGATCACGTCTCGTCGCGGGCAAATAAAAAAAAGATAAAAAAGAAACTTAACCCGGACTGGAAGGAACTCCTATCGGGTATATCTCGAAGCGATAGATGTGTTACGCAGATAACTTGGAAATAAATCCTATTTTATAGTTGAACAAATTCACGGTTTCCTCCTTCTCCGGTCTTTGTTGAGCATAATTCATTCATGGCACACGCGCGGTATAACGCAATCGCCACGTTTAAATGGATCTTTATGGACGGATTTCGGCTTACCTGGAACGATTTAATCGCGTTTACGCGCGTTCCCGCTTTTGTTCACCCCGGCCCCACCTCCCCCCCGCCCGACACACGCTACCTACGCTTCATTTTCTCGTATAATACCTGGAAACGATTTGATCAGATTATTTACGACCAGTTTTTAAAAAGGATCCTGCTTCTCGTGATGCTGTATTTCGTCGAGAAATGAGTTTATGCTCGTTGATGTTCCTTTTCTCGAATCCTATCTCTGTATTGGCTTCTTCAGACTCTTCTCCTATGTCGTCTCGTGTTCCTTTTCTATTTCACTGGGTCGCGATGTGATACCTGATCGTAAGAATGGCAACTCATTGGGTCACATTTTCTTTCCCATTACACCATATTTTACTGTCGAGACAAAGGGGCGACAGGACGCGTAAAGAGACGGTGGAGCGGTCAGGCATCGACGAGAATAATGATCATAAATTAGAGAGAACCGCGACCGCATTTTTTTCACCTGCCGACTGTCCACGAAAAGGACCGCATCACGTTTCGGGTATTAATAACGCGGTATTGCGAGGGAGCGACCTCCCGTGCCACGGAATGCGCCGTAAAACGATTGTCATCGTGTGTGACGCGACGAATTCCATCCGGATGCCCGTGAAAAAAATCCTACGAATCATTGTTAGCCCCCGTGCGCTACTCTGGTAGCACTGTTTTGACTCTTCGTTGGATTACGCGCTTATGGTCTAACGATTAGACTAGATCTTCGGTTTCCGGACGACGGATGTTATTAGTGGCTAGTGAAATTTTCATCAAAACTTAGCAAACGTGGTATTTTTAATCGATAATAACGGATTTATGATGCGTATTAAATATATTCGATCATGCGTTTCTCGATTATATCTTCTTCACGGTGGAGACGAAAGAAATAGCGGAGATCGACCGATTTAACGTCTTAATCCGCGAAACGTTTTACTGCTCGCGGCGGTTCAATGAGCAAGACGAATTGCTGCCGATTTGCATTTAAGCGCGAGATAAAGTGTCCCCGGAAGCGAATTAATTCTTCTCTTTTATTCTTCTCATAACCGTAACGTTAAACCCAAGAGAATCGTGAGAGAAAATACAAAATATCTTTGCTCCAGATATCGCAATGTCTTTATTAAACTTTAAGAGAAAATTATAATACAACAGATTTATTGCATTATTTTCAACAGACTTTCATAATATTTAATTACGCTTATATTTTTTTTTTATAATTAGATGGAACAGTTTCTCAGTGCAATAAATCAGGGAATTTAAGAAAAGTATTAAATTTAATAAAACCTCTCTTAATTACAATATTTAATTAAGATAACGGTTAACGCGCGTATCAGAAAATAGAAATTCCTAATCGTAGAGAGTTGCTGATATTAAACGCGTATACAGATAGCTGGAGGGAATGAGAGAGGAATAAGAGAAAAGGAGAAGAAGTAGATCGTGTCTTTTGCGAAACTCATTCGGCCGTGCCTCTATCGAGATACTGTTATCGATATCGCGTGTCAATTAAGCGTGACAAGTGCGACAGAAAACAGCGCGAGAATTAAGCGTGACGACGTGAAAAGTGTATACGTGGGCGAGCTTTCGTGGTCGTAACACGAGGTAGATATGCCCCGGAGTCGTACGTCTGTGTTCGTATAGCATCGTGTACTCGAGATTCGTGCAGGTGTCGATCCCTTTTTTCCCCCCTTTCCTCCTCGCTCTTTCCTTACCTTTCTTTTATTTTTCGTTCTTTTCGAACATGCTACGCCTGTTGGCAGGTCATTACGACTATTCGTGCACGATGATGACATTTAATCGAGCTGGCGTATGGCTTCCCGTCTTTCTCGCGGTCGCCCATTTTTGCTAGACGTATTTGCCTTGCCTTCTCGGTGGCTAACAACCGTTTAATAATTTCAATTCACGGTACTAATCACGTACAAGAATATCTCCACTCCGAATTCCAATGTATCCGTGAAATATTTTAATATGAAAATTTTTCTTCATTAAAATGGAATGTCTGTTATTCTAAGTCTTCGGTCTTTATTCACACAGCGTTGCGATAAACGACTCGATGCTCGTTCTTAGCTAAATCTCGCTCGAGCCTCGACACCTTCCAGATG